GTGCATAACAGAAACGTGTGTCTTTTGTGACTTCATCTATTGTCGCTCAAAAGAACACTTACTGATATGAAATCAAGTTAATGCGAATGTTGCTTCTTGCGCGTCACTTTAGAAGTTGGTTTCGGTGCTTCTCAAAAACCAGAGAGCATCACGTGGACTAAATCAAATTTGGAAAACGAGATCGAATGGCTGGCTTCCATGAGATACCAGAGGTTCATATCCTTCTGTCACACACCACGGTGCTATCGTACTAAGCTGATCAGTCAGTCATACTAGTTGTGACTCGAATATTGATGACCTCTGTACCGTAATGAGGAAATGTCTGATTAGATCCGCGGCTAGTTTGTCACAAGTCAACCGAAGCGTAAATATATACATCTGAATTGTTAATATTGTTTAATTACCTTCCAAACGTTAACCGCGTAATGCTCTTGCTACATTTGAACATTTCAAGTGAATGCGTCAAACAAACTGATTCGTGTCTTCACAGTGACTTACGTGGCCTAGAGACTGTAAATGTAATCATAATTATGGTACCTGTTCAAGTAAACTCTCGAATGAAAGTTCTTTGATAAAAGTAAAAAAACATTTATCTAATCTCCCGGACAACTTAGTCAAATTAACTGCAAATTTGGAACTGTGTTTCCTTTCTCAGTAAAGTTGAAACATCTATGAAATACGGATCCCACGAGTACGCTTCTCTTCACCGTGCTGAAATATACGGGTTGATGTGTGATAAAATTATACAGTTACCACAAGCAAAAACTACATATTAACAGAGTTTGTGAAACACATTCGCTCCGGCTGTTTTTACTGTCTTTTACACGTAGCACATGCAGCGATGTGCTTGAAGTGGTAAGTGTGCAAAATAACTGCATTGCAATGTTTCGGAGAATTTCCTAAGTCGTTATGACCAATATTACCAACCAGGCTACGATAACATCATTTCAACTAAACTCATTTTCGAAACATTTCCCGTATGCTGTAGCGAAGTTGGTGATTTCGATAGAATAACCAAGTAAGTGTTCTAATTGTGATGTGAAGAAATGATTTTACCGTGCCTGCTCAACCACCACGTCAATGGAAATCAGCAATTTCGATGTAGTACTGTAAGCAGTTCCACTATCACCATGTGATAGAAAATATGGTGAATAATGCTTGAACGAAATGAAAAATTATACTTTGATTGTGCAACTTTGCTGATTACTTGCTACCTGGCGGGGTAACTCAGTCGTCACATGCGTTTAAATTATAGGCACAACGTGGGAATATGCAGATGACCAGTTGAAGCAAATTGGGACATCGATTGTCTTGAGCCCAACTAACCATTGGATATATGGATAGTTTTTCACAGAGTTTCAGTTGTTATAACCAGGGACAATCTACGAGACAAAATTTACTAATGACAATTTCTAACACCATTTCAATCCATTTAATAATATTGTATGGTTAGCGATCTCACCGGCCACAAACAGAGGTTCGCAAGTGTTCAGCTGAATTTACATTGTTGTGTTAGCAATTTGCTGTTAGTTCTCACTATACAGCCAAACAACTTGTGAACAGGATCAATGCTTCTCACAAAAGAACGTCTGTCACTAGATCCAGCTGAACTCTCCCTGTATTAAGGCTTGTGTTTTACCTAAGTTTAGAGTCTAAGCAAAAATAACAGAAATGTGCTATAATTTGTGATGAAATATACAACAATGCATCTTCATAGGGAACTTTTTAAAATATTCACGATAGGACAATACCTGCAAATTGACTGTTTAATTCCAACTCGTTCCTTAAAAATTTCTTTCCAAAGAAAGGTAGTGTGTTCTGTGAGTTTGAGAAATATGTGACTGTTTGTCAACAAAATGTGACCCTATATCACAATGCACACATAAATTACTAATCACGCAATGAATTAGGATAAACGAAGGTACGGAACGGCAAAACAGAAGTCGACGCGAATGTCATTACCAAATTTCGAATTACCCAGAGTTAAGTATTGTTGTCCTGTAACATAATGAGCAATAAACAAATGACGCTGGAGATGTTAGGCATTTATTTGCTGAAAAAATGGTTGCATATTTTGGGTAATCAGATCAAATCCTCTTTCCAAACTATATGAACTCGGTTTTCCTTGGCAAACAGACTTGGTAAAGTTATCATCAACTAAGTAATTTAGCAGTCAGAAATACGTTACAGCGTATTAATGACTGCGGCAGCATGATAACCGATGATATAGTTAACAACCAGTCTTTCATCACGGCTATTTTAAAGAAACACAGAACATGTTTGATCATGTCAGCATGGTTTCTGCCCAGCAAAATTACCTTCCACAGAGAGTTTGCAATGAAAACAGTAGACAAACTGTTTCCGCACACGGTGAGAAACATGAAAACAGTTTAGTACATGGCACTTACGAGATTAAAGAATAAGATTTTTTTGAGAAAGAAATCTAGAATGAACTTTGTATGGCAGCATTCCCGTTATTTAAACAAACATTTCCGGCTAACCAAGAAGACGTCAGTTTTAGACAAGAAGTTTTACCGTCCCTGGGATTACGTTGAATGAGTCAAAGAAAAGCTTTCGAGACAGACTTAGTTTTAGATTTTCAACAAATCGTTCCAGAACCTGCTTGAAAAGTCTGTTTTCAAAGCAACGCAAAGTCTGCCAACTTTTGCTCTAAGTCACAATAAATGACTGGACGTCTAGCGGTTTTGAGTGGATGAACAGTGTGATAAACTAGCTTTGTTTGGGGTTTATCTATAAATTTTACTTGCACATTTTAAATGAAAATTAACCAATAGGAATTTTGCTTAATGTCTATCAAATCTCTTCAATAACAGGTTTATTCAGCTTTCGGACTCGTGCAACACGGGAGCCTTAATATCTTTCAAATATCTTGGTAGACATATATTGAAGATAAAAATGTGTACACTGTGTGAAGCCATGTATGTTTATTAAGTGAAGTCGTGTTTTCATAGGCAAATTATCAACTTATACAGGATCACATTTTTCATGATTTACAGGTCTTCAGGAGACTGAACAAACCATGATTTTTGTATTGTTCTGTTGTTAGCGTCATTCGTAAAATGTATAAGCTTATAGTCAATAACCGATTTTATGTCGGAGTAATACAAAATCTACCGAACTCAAAAGTAGTAAACCTCTGGTTTCTACCACGTTTTTATCACACAATGTATCGTGTGTAACTTACAAAATGGTCCCAAGAACAAAGTACTACATCTGGAAAACACTTTTTAGTTTAATATTGCAATGTTTTCATCAGTCTTAGCTAATTGTCTAGTATAACCACGATATTACTTAAACGATTTTCCGCGTTCGTTATAACAGTTAACTGCATTGAAAAATCAGGAAAAACTCAAGGCATACTAGTGTTGAGAATGCCTCCTTGATCATTGCCAGGATTGCCCCAGAGGGAAAATCTTCATTGTCAAAAACATCATGCGCTTTGTTTGTGTTCCTCAAAAAGTATACAATATTTGCTCAGTCTTGTTAAGTACTCAAGGAAGGGTGGGCGTTATCCTTCTCAGAAGTAAAGGAAATGGTTGTCCTATTTCCACATAACAATCTCCATTTCAAGCACTAGCCCAGCAGGCACAACATACAGCATTCTCACGGGTCACTCTGAGGATTGTAGCCTAAGTCTTATCCGCTATCTCTTTGATGTACTGGATCATTGATCACTATCAACGTAACACTTAAACGGAAAAACCTCAGACGAGCATACGAACTAAGAAGAACGTTTACATAATTGGAGGAAGGTTAACTTATCGATGATAGTATGAAACTGCTGTAGGTGGTTAAAAAGCAAAACCTTGAAGCGTGTAGGGAACTAACTAAAAGCCTTTATTAAACCAAACTGACACAGACATTCGAGGTGAACAAAATTATAAACTACAAACTAGGAGCTTGTATCCCAAAACAATACTTTTAGAGCACTGTGAAAACCAATCACATTCGTGGGTTAGTAGGTTGCTGTAAGAAGGAGAAAGACCTTTGCTTGTTTGTTCTAGTCTCTCTGATAGTCGCTGGAAATTGTGTTGGACAGTTTATAGGTGCAAATGAATGTGAATGAAACTAACTAAGGGGTACGGTGAATAAAACTGATGACCGCAGTTATTTCACCAATAAATACTGGGACACAATGAAACAATGTCCAGTCGAACATGCATAGTTGATTATTTGTGAGAGTAAGTTCCTATAGCGGTTAGGAAACTTGTGATGTCCGTTGTCTCTCACGTAGGTGTTGATCAAGTAATATTTTAGAACTTTCAACCGAATCAACTACCGGGGCAGTCGATCCCTTGAATCATCTGATGGATACCATAGGAGACAGTTGGACGGGTGAGTAACCGAGTCCACATTTGAAATTTCCAAGCTCCTGGCATGACTTCGTAGCTCAGCTGGTAGAGCGTTTTGCCGCGTAGAGGCATGTTTTTTCCGTAGCTGGTTCGAATCCAGCCGAAGCCCTGACTTTTCACAGTTGGGTCTCATCTAAAACCATCAATCTGCCAAACTTTTCATTAGTAATATGACCACCGTGTCCGGCAATGTGTTCCAATATGAACAGATCCTGTCTGCGAAATAGTTTCGTCTATAATGTTGCGTGTCTGCTCCATAACTCACATTCGAGGAGTGACTATCTAAACATTATTCATTACTTAGTAGAAGATGTGCCAGTGGATGACCCATAATGTGGATTATTTTATAGGCCGTAGTTAGGTTACTCTGGAGATATCTGTAATTAATTGATATTTGACCTAATTCTGCCTGAAGATACGTGTGATCTTGAACTGTTTTATGGCTTTCGGGAAAAAATCGGCTGATAAGGAACGAATGAAAACTGAAGTGAATGGTTCTGTTAAGTCCGCGGCTCACCTTTTTAAGACAACAGCAAACATATTCACTTTTGTAAACGGGCTAATCCAAAATAAATGGCTTACACAAAATACCTGGCAAACTCTATTTCTTAGATAATATCATCAATTCTCTTCACTTTGTTAACCTGACCAGCTTTAACTCATCAGGGTTAATATCAGTTACCAGAAGAACAGGAAACACAAGATGGTGATGCAAGCAGTACGCACCAGATACATGTTTATGCTGACAACTAGTTTACGTTATAAAAGACGAACATTCACTATTAGTCGTGCTTTGAACTGAGCACTCTGTCAAAAACAGATTAGCTTTTGATATACTTTAATATTTTTGACTTCCTCGGTCAGTTTTCCAAAAGCGGAAGAAAAGTGGAAACACTACCAACATTGAAAAGATTACGAAATGTAATTCCGTACAGCGATTTCCGAGGTCATCCTTGTTTGATACACTGCTGTAAACGCCAATTTTAACATGAGAGTAGTGTTAATGTATTTATTTAACTCGATATTGTATTCCAAAGTTCCCGTCCACCAAAAAACTCACGCAAGCGAATATTTTAACTGTGCGTCTAAAACAATTTTGCATTCTTTTTAGAAAGTAGGTGACAACTGGTTTTTAATCAATCTCAGCGAAGTTATTATCGCAACCATCTGGTCTATGTTCAGAGAATTAATATATGACAGAAAGTTTTTCTAAACTCTTCACAATACTTTGCTGATTTCTGCCAGTGATCACATTAACAGACAATACGATTCCTTTTCCTTGATAAATGTGCTGAAGTCTCCAGATTCATACATGCAATTTATCCGACTGGCGACTCCTGTTTCATGTGAGACATATGTTGTCAGTCCACTTCGTATTTTTGTCATTTGGTTGTTGAGATGATAGTCACACAAATTACAAAACACTGTATACCTGCTCAAGCATTAGACTGTGTAGAAACATCTTCTAACGGAAGGATATGTGACTGCGTTATCAATAAAAGTATAAGTAAGTCGGGTTTTACTCTCTCTTGTTCTAATAGGGATGGTCCACTGAAAGTTCATTCTGACGAACTGACTGACTATACAGCAAGCGGGTTGATAAACGTTGTCGAACCAATCGAACAATGAACAGAGGGTGCGATATTAATGACCACGTTTTTTAGTTGTAACCGAATAGAAGTAACAAATTTCAATTAGTAGTAAGAAACTCGAAACTCGAATTTCCTGCTTTTTTCAAGCAGCTTTGCGACGAAACGTGAGTATTTTGCTCACTGCTACTGTGATGTGTTACTGTGTTGTCGGCTCTCACTTACAGTTATTGCTAGAGTATAAGAAGAAGGCAGAAGTAATTACAGAGGATGGGGATAAAAGACTAATGTGTCTTGTACAGTTCTGAAGACACTTATTGAAAAACAAACATTATTAGGTGAGTTTGCTTATGGATTCTTTTCGCACCCTTTGTTCAGGTGCAAAACAAAAAAGATCGATAATGTTTCTCCAAGAAGTCTCACTGTTCCATAGCAGAAGCGTTAACATTTTGGCGAGATGTCCTTAAAATATGTCGTGGAAATAAACCAGTGAAAGGCTTTTCTGATTAAATAGGAATTATCTGTAAGCAGATTGTTAAGTTCTGTCGAATGGGCTAGTGAGAACGTGAAAACGTTGCAATATAAGCCAGAAGTAAAAACCAGGTCTTATATTCATTACAACACCATTCGCAGCAATACTTATACCAACGCTTCTGACTAACTAACTTAGCATATTGTTATCGCAGACTTAATCCTCTCGTCATTAATCTAGTGATTGAGAACATTCACTACAGTTCTTTAATATAGTTATTGAAGTAAACATAACATTGGGGCCTATATTTCAGGAATTAAGACAGAGTTTAGTAAAAATTCACAACAAGTGTAAATGACGGGGATCTTCAACAGTTATTATCCCTAAACATTAATTTTACTCTTTTTCACTTGAGAGCAAATCTCACACCAATGAAGCAATCGGCACTGAGGTCAGAGTGAGCCAGTGCAACAGTAAATGAACCAATGACATTTCTTAGTTTTGTGTTTTGTGTATTCATAACTGCATAAGATGGAAAATGATTTACTCAGTCGGTTCAGTGCATCACATACCAATGGAATGTAATTTACATGTGAACTTGACGGCTACACTCATTATTGATTTTACCATCAGGAAACCAATTACACAGAATTTGTGTGAAAATCGAGCAAACTAACGAATTACACGAAAAGACCAAATTATAGGTGACCAGCTGAATGTCATCATCTGCGCCCAGGTGGGAGTGTAAAAACTACAGTCTGAAAGATCCAAAGCACGTCAACGTGAATAATTAGCTAGTGTTTTGAAGGCGCATTTATTGTTCGATTATTTGTGTTAAAGCATGTTGTCTATCGTATAATACAGTTGATGTCTTCACAGTGTACCAAAATCAGCAAAATGGTGAAAACACAAATTGAAAATGTCATCTTGGAACCTTCATCTTTAGATTAAGTGGAATCCTGATTATTGCGTGATGAACAAACGTTTCTCATGTGTATGCAATTTGTGTTCGTTAATCCCCTTTTCCAAAAGACAACAAATAACCAAAATTAGCTCGAAATTCCCAGAAGGTCCGTCGAACTGTGTTCAAGTTTTTGTCGGCATCCCACCGTCACATTACTACCTAAACATTGGTCAAATTAGAGGTAACCGTCTGCTAGATTACGTAAAAGTATTTCATTCTGATCAAGGCAGTTGACTGATATAAACAATTTTAAGCGTGATCACGGTTAATTTCACACTAATCACCCTATCGGCAAGAAAGATATCTTGTAGGTTGTCCATCAGGCTCTCTGTATTCAGTCTAAGATGTTGAGGTCCCGGATAGTCAATATAATTGGATTCCGACAGGCTAGTCTAGTAGATGATTTTGTCCATAGTGGCTTGTTCACCTAAATATGATAAACATTGCTCATAAAATTTACATGCAGACTTCAGCGGTCATTATGTAAAGCAAAATGAAGAGACTCACAGAATATGAGATTCATTTCATTTCTTTTACACAAAACAGTAATTACGCCACCAGATACAACTCCATGCCAATCAGGTTTACGGGTGAAATTGGGACATGTGGGGAAAATGTGCAGAGAACTGTAAACCATCTTGTCATCAAGAACCAATATTTATCATCGGGAGCGGAAGGGAAATATATGTAAACCAGTGATCTGCTTACTGTAAGCAAGAAAGAATGGCGGCATTGAATATAGAAATGACTGTTCCAAGAATTGCACAGTCAGTGAGACATAAGAGATACGTTTGCTGCTTTTTTGTTAAAAGTTATGGAAAACTGAAGTAAACTGCTTTAAACTAACTTGAACAATTATCTTCGTTCATGCTCACCAGCTGTGGTGGGGCGTTCAATAGAAAATACGGTGTCAGTTGTGAGAGATGAAGAGTCAGTGCGACCGGTATAGACTAATCGATTGACAAGCTACAAGTTTATGTTAACTGTGGCTGATTGCAAGCGTTGTCGGGCCGAACCAAAACTGATCAAATGCTCAACTGTATCTGGGTTTTAGTTTCAATAAATACATCAGAAACATTTGCTTAGGCGAGATTCAGGATCAACCAATAAACACAACGTTTCTTGATTAAAAGATAGTTGGCTATGCATTTTCATAACATATTCACTGCTGCTACTAAATATTGATGCAGCTGTGCTTTTTGGACATAGCTGACTAACACACACTATAAAATAATGATATTAGATCAGCTTTAGATGGTTCATGAGTTATAGAAGCGAGTAGATAACTGCTTTCCTATAGATAAATTAGATCTACCTCAAAACGACAGATCAAACTATGGAGGGACTCGAGACAAGGTTGGGGGAACAATCTTTCAGATATATAGAAAAAGTACTGTTATCCTTGATACACAAATCAACGGAATTTCTTCATCGTACTAAAAAGTACATCTTACATCCTTCTACACTGTATTGTGATGCTTCTCTGCACCATTATGTCCTAGTCAGTCATATGTTGCGGCCTTTTTCACAAGCAGAGTCCATATTTTTGGAGATGAGTTGAGTTAAATCAAAGTTCATTAAGTAATGATATATCTTGCTAGCATTACAAAACAACAAAGACAAGAAAAATGCCTTTTGTTTCTTATGAATGTGTGGTGGTACACAAAACATCCTTACTTAAATCGTTTCTTGTGTATCTTTGACACCATTACAAACACCCTGCCGTCTGCAATGAAAGACTTATGGAGGGGGATTGGAAACTCATTCCAGCCTTTCATACATAGCTAGTATTGGAAACAAAACATTCTATTTATGGTTTCAATTTCTGAGCATCTTAAATGAAAACTGCAAAAGAGGTGCTTTCCTTAATGCTTATCCGTTCTTTTCTCTTATTTGAAGGTTATTTGGTGCATGAATCGTAGATAACTGAAGAACCGTAACTGGTTGAAAGCATTCACTAAGTGAGGTCGCTAGCATTCTGACTGACACAAGGAGGTTCATGAGTGTCCGTCGACTGACAAGCTCAGTGGAAGAATACTGCAGCAGATTTCACCTCATCTGTCCTACTATTTTTTGTGTGTCAG